GCAATGTTTCTGTAACAGGTCTAGTATTTTTCAAATACTTACTGCGATTGGGTTTCGTAAAGGGATTGTAGCACTTTGGTCTCACTATTTCAAACTCTCGCAGTACGAATGGATACGTGCACACGGTTTGACTGTAATAACAGTACTGACGAACAGAGACTAAGAAACCAAAAAACCCCACCCCTGGTAAGGTGAAATGGTCTATAAACCAATAAAAGAAATGCAGGGTGACTCAGAACACAGGTAGTGACAGAAAAATGTTTCCAACAATTAATATCATCGACGAGGGTAAGTTTCTAAAAACTATTAACGGTATTAGACCTTTCAGCGGTCGCATACCCCTATATAACAATGGCAGGTATAGCCGCCTGGCTGCTGCTAGGTATTTAACTCACGGCTCGGCCGATCGAGCTGGTACGCTTCGACGCATCGTTCACTTCAATTAATTTCCATACGGCCAATTTTAATGTGTCCGTATTTTTGAAGATATGTCTATACAGAGGACAAATAGGGCTATATTCTCATTTGTTTTCAAATTTTTAAGTAGTTCCTGGGTATAAAAACAGGGCATTTATTTAAAACAATTGCAAAATAAATGGTTAAAAAATATCTCTTATTAACTAAAATAATTTTTATTTTGTACTCTTATGTCTCCACTGTAAGCACACCTAAAGCTCATTTTGTTCAGTTTCTTAGTTAAATAGTTATGATTTATTGAAAAAAGGTTGATCCTACATATCAAACAGCTGTAAAATCAACAATTTTCAAAAATTCTTCGAGATACGTTTATATATCGTTAAAGACTATAATATATCCAAATTGGAACGAAATACGAAAGGATGCTCTAAAAAGTTTTGTTTAAAACATTTTTTTTTAACTCTTATACTTTAAGAGTTATACGCGCAAAAGTGGGAGTGCCAATTCGACTTTGAGGTTAGATTTCACACCCCTAAAGGGCGATTGGGCACGAATGAAATAAACTGTAATTCTTATCTTGAATCACTCTATAAAGCCACAAAGTTTCATTCCAATCCGCGAATCAGCGTTTGCGGTGTTCCCTTGAGAACTGGTTTCTACCGAGAACTGAACGATAATTTAAAGTTAAAAAAGTAATCTCCCTTGATTTCCATCTTAACTTTAATGTAGTTACATATTAAGCGCATAACAACGAATTTATTAATATTATCTCCACGCCAATCTCTTATATACCACACCGTTCTCTTGGACGAAAAGATCCGAAAGGATAATTGAAAGTCGTTGGAACTTTCTCGAATGGCCGATTAATCTTATATCAAAAGAACCACGCGTACATATTATAAACGTGATATTAACCCTAGATTACTAAACTATCGTAAAAATTACGACCTGAAATTCGCAACTCTTGGAAATCGGCACCTTAATCTTAATTTTTCATTATTGTTAAGTCTGGTTATCATAAATATTTATAATGTACATTTTTATCTCAATAAAAATAATATTTTTCTGAAATATTGCATGCTTCCTTTCAGTCGTAATTTACCTATTATCATAATCCACCGCTCTATCAACTGAGCTATCAAAGGCAATTAATAATATAAGTCACAGGATAGATTAGTAATCCAGAGTTAAAGAATATTAATCGGCACGGAGATCAATTTTTTTAGAGTTCCACATATCAAAATGTTGCACAAATTTGTAATCACGAATAGTTCAACGTTTTTTTACTATCGTAATAAAAACCGTAATACAAGTTAAATCAGGTAGGATCTACATTCTACAGAATTAACGAATAACTCGATTAGTGTTCGCCTGATACAACCTATCGTACGATACAAAAATATGTACTTCTTTAACCCTTTTAGTACCTTACAGTCGATATACGGCATTGTGGGTTTTCCGAAAAATACCTTGAGCCGATATATCGGCTATCCATTTTTACAATTTAAACACATGTAATGGTACTTTATTTTTATAAAATAAGTTTATAAGTGCAACATACGTTTACTGAATAAAAGTGAAATAAAAAAAAACGAAAAATATCTTCATTTTTAAGAGAAATATGTTAATTTTAATAACTTCGAAAATAGCATATTTTTCAAGGTATTTTTGGACGATACCGGCAAAACTTATAAGGCCCTATAAAGGTTGAACTCTACTTTCTACCTTTCAAAGAATTAGCGAACTACTCGATTAGTTTTTTTTCGATACGATCTACCATACGATACAAAATAATTTAACCTATATAATCGAACAAAAAAAAGGCAACGGGAATACAACGATCACTTCGAAAGGGATCGCCGATACCTTCGAGGAAATAAAATACACGGGCGCGCTTCGGGCCAGGATTTTCGTTCGAGGAAAGGAGGTCGAAAGGTTACCGGCTCGATAAAAGACTCTCCGCGCGCGCGCTCGAACGCGCTGGGATTTTGTTATTCGCCGGCGAACTCTTGTTTGGGCATAACTTCGCCCGGTGGACTTTATGGCACCTGTCAGAAGAATTCGGCACTGTGCAAACCAGACAACAATAAGGTACATTCCGATGCAAAACAGCCGCGGGCAGTCTGGCCACTTACCGATGAACTGAACTTTCCCTCTGTCCCCCCCACCCATCCACCATCCACCATTTTTTTTTTATTTCTTTTCTTCGTCTTTGTCCTTCACCCTTTCCTGCTCGCCTCTTTTCCATACCGAGCCGTGCTTCTTTTTCTCGTGGACAAAACCACGGAGAAAATCGTTATCGCGTTCGCATGTAGTCTGTGTGACGTTTCTTTTGCCTTTTTTTTAAACATATAATATTTTAGAGAATATTTCGACGGAATCGAAGAGCGTAGTTTCGAGCGTTCCAAGTTCCATCGAGATTACGTGTTTTACTAGGATTTTTAACGTTTTCGATAGAGATATGGTGTTGGAGTGTACTTTTATCGGTGACATTCTTGGATCGGTTCGTGAAGAACGTACGTTATAGATATTGAACGAAAATTGGTTAAATAAGTGTATTGTTACTGAAATACTGGAATAATAATAACGATGATATATGAATTGAATAATTATTATGTTTAACGCTTTAACACCTAGACCCTTAAATCGTTATTTAACACTGAAACTACTGATGGCAAACGCATATCTATTTCGATCGATCGATAAACGTGACAAATATTTGAAAATTTACAAATATCTAAATTAACTAATTTCTTCGATTTCATATCGTGGTCAAAGTTGCAAAATATATTGTTGTAACTATACTGTGGAAATTTATACAAATTTTAGATATTAATATATGGAAACTGTAATTGGACAGAGTTTCATTTTCAGTACTAAGGGCTTGAGAATATTTGTAATAATACATAAATAGCAAGAAACTTTCTTAAAATCGTTATTTTACGATGCTTTGCAAATCAGGAAATGCCACAAATGGATAATCATCCGCAGTCTAGTTATAACATTTTAATCATCGTTATAAGAATGTACTGACAAATAATTCTGAATTGAATTTCAAAAAATTTTTTATTTATTTTATAATCAGCGAAGATTGTTAAATTGAGATATCAAGAATTGAATGGCACGAGAAATTTATGACTCGGCGAACCCATCTGGTATACCAAGAGACACCCTATAACATGCCCCCATTTTCCTAGGTTTAATCGCTCTTTCAGGCGTGGAGCAACAGGTGTCTTCGAAAGAGAAGCAGGAAATACGCTGAAAATATGGTGAAAAGCGTGGACGATTTCACAAACGATAACGTATACGTTGAAAAGAGTATTACGTTCAACGGATTAAAGTCATTATTAGAAATTCAATAAAACCTTATCTCGAACATGAGCAGATCGATCAGAAAAGAAAAGAAAATGTCATCGTGTAAATCCAGCCTTAGTAAATCAGCGTACAAACAATATGAATGCGTACCAACGATCTATAGTCTAAGATTTGCTACTTCTAAAATATATCTTGACAAGAGGAACAATTTAAATAAAGAAATACAGAACATACAGAAGAATTAAGGTAAGTACGGAAAAGTGTAACCAAAAAAAGCTATCAATCCACCCGATCCTATGGTCGGGTCACCGGCGACCCGTTGGTATCCATGTCATCATACTATCAACATTTTCAATATTTCGAAATGTTTCTACGGGTCACGATTGACCGCAGATTTCGAGTAGTCCGTAATTCGAGGGTTAAATCAATAAAAACGGTACTCCTCGATCATTCAACAAGCTCCACCCCTCTTTGCAACCCTTCCTCACACGATTCTACCCGCAGAACCGACATCGAACCGACCACCGTAATCACTTATCCCTCGAAACACAGTCCCCGTATCAGCAACTAAACAATCCACCCTCGCTCGACATTTATAATCCCTCTTTTTAGTTTTATTGAATATACAGGGGTGTCCACCGGGGGCGTGGGGGTGATGCACCACGGTTGAATAGAAATACCGACTAAAAAACGGCTCAAGGAGACCAGAGCAAAGGGAGGACAAAAATTGGCTAAAGAGAAGACACAGGGAATCCAAAAAAGAGGCAAGCAGAAGCTAAAGAAGGGGATGGACACCAAGTAAACTGGGTAAAAAGAGGACAAAGATTGGGTAAAGGGAGGACACAGGGAGCCCCCAGAAAAGGCAAGCAGAAGCTAAAGATAAGAACGCACACCAAGTAAGCAAGATTAGGGACGAGGGTGGTGATGACGACGACGACCAGGGTTGCCAGAACGAAGCCTTCAAAATAAAGGCCCTGTGATGTCACATTGCGTCTATACAGTTAAATATACTAATACGATTTGTGCACACCTTGCGAGGACTGCTAGGTGTGCTCCCCCTCTATTGCATACTACGTAATATGAACTTCAAAGGCCCTACTCCTGGCAACCCTGACGACGACGGAGCAGTCCTACAGTCAAAAGAGGGTAGGTCTAGGGGAAATGCAAGCAAGATAAAGAGAAAGAAACCGAGCACAAGAGTGAAAGATGCTGGGATAGGGTGAAAGACCAAGAAAGAAAGCAAGAAGTAAAAGGAAAAAGAGACTCACGTTTGCAGTGGCCCTTATAGGCGACGGGAATGGCGCGACCTGCGCGGCAGGCGGCAAGTCGCAGGTGGCAGGCACTCTTGTAGGTGTTTCCGTCGGCCCCGCAGACGGGCCGTGCGGCGGCTCGCTCCTGCGGGGGCGGCTGGGGGCACCTGCGGGCGCACCTCACGCAGTGCGGGCTCAGGTTCTGGTCCAGCAGGCAGCTCCGACCTTGGCCGCAACGGACCCGGGCGCACGAACCTGCTCGACACTTTACACGTTATTACGCACGGTCGTAAACCGCCCCCGTGATAAATACCGTTGCCTTCATCTTTCCCCCACCGTCCCTACCCTCTTCGACCCGTTTTTTCGTGCCACCCCAGATCCTGATTTCGAACGCGAGAAACTGTACGGACTACGTGTTCTAACCTTCGTTTGCATGCTCGATCGGACTGGGTTGTGATGGGTTAATTTTTGGGTTTTTCTAATGATTTTGTGGGGAAGTATATACACTGTGTGGCATAAGACTACCGTGAAAATTTCAATTTTTATGTATTGTGGTTAAAATAAAAACGAAACATTTTTTTGTTCTAGGAAATGTAATCTGTGCTTTTCTGGAGAAATATTATTTTTCAACACGATTTCAGACACGGTATATACTTGGTTGGTTTTTATTGTAACCATAATAATAAGAATTGGACTTTTAAGGTATTTTATAGTTATGCCACGCAGTGTAGAGCTGAAGAGATCGAGATAGAGGGTTGTAAGATCCTCTAACGTAACTCCTGACCCACAAAAGTATTAAAAACCGCGGGAAATTCTAAAATGATTCTTTTCTTTTTTCAATTAATCTATGTACAAATGGATAACACGGATGCTTAATTCGAATCTTTGCGTTTGAATACTTCCGAGAATTTCACTACGGATTGCCACTATGTAAAATTGTACACATGTTTTTTTAATCATTTTCGAAACAGTAAATCATATTCCATCAATAACTGATTAAAGTCAATGAACACTAAGCACTATTATTTACAAAACAAACGGATGTTGTATTGTGTACCATATTTAATCTTAACCAAATAAAATGGAAATCGAAACTTTTTTATATGAAATAATGTTGTTTGTTAATTAGGCTAATTAAATTTTTGAATCGTTAATACTTTTACTATAAAACTCCGATGCATTCAATAGAATGTTAGTTTAAAATAAATTAAATTTAGGTCCAGTAATAACTCGTATCATAACAAAAGCACAATCCGGAATGGTTCAACCCGGGCAGCGATTCGAATGCAAGTTAATGATCGCGTTACGATAATGATTCCATCTCGTTCATACATACTCACTTTGGCAGTGGCCGTTATAGGCGACCGCTAGCTCGTGGCTGCCTTTCTTGCACGCGCGTTTCTTCAGCCTGCAGAGATTCTTGTAACTTTTCCCGTCCGTCCCACAAACCGGACCACCGCCCCTCGGCGCCTTGCACTCGGGGTTGCAAACGCACCTAGGCCTTCCCTTGCGTACCACGCACTTCTTACCCTCCTCGCACCTCACCTCCGCACAGCTCTCTGCGAACAGAAGACAGTTTTGCATTACGGTGGAATTTTCGATCAGAACCAACAATGTTTTGGACGAACATTTTTTTTTTAGAATTATATGTGGATGAAAATTTTGTTGAATCACAAATTTTGGATGAAAATTTTAGACGACACCCTGGAATACAAATTTTGACAAAATATTTTCGGGACGAAAGTTTCGATCAATTTTTTTGGATGAAACTGTTGGTTGGAAATTTAATTGAATGAATATTTGGGATGAAAATTGTTTTGGATATAAGTTTTGGATGAAAATTTGTATGAAAATTTTAAATGAAAATTTCGAATAAAAATTGTAGATAAAAATAATGAATGAAAATTTGTAGATAAACATTTTAAGATTAAAGAGTATTCAGTTTTGTAATAAATATTTCGTGTCGTTCTAAAGAATATAATGCCTTAGAAATGGATGTTATTGTTAGATGTTGAGAAACAGGGAATAAAACTTGATCTAAGATTGTTATAATTAACTATTGGGAAAATGGATTTGACACTGGAATGAAAGTAATTCAATTTTTGGTTAGTATTGTATACGAATACGAAGATGGTATTACTAAGTTAATTTAGGAGAATCTGTTACATAGTATTTATGTGTGTAATGGTACAAAAACATGGCGAAGATTAAGTCAGGAGGCGTATTACGTACAATGTAAAATAGACAATGCGATACGAAGAAAACAAGCATAGTGCCAGCGGGGATAACTAACATATTCGATTAGTTTCTAGAACTCTTTTTCATTCTAAGAATCTAACTATCCTTCCTCTAAATAGTTCGTTATGCGAAACTGTTGGTGCATCGTATGGAATACGAATAAACCGGGGAGAAATTTGTAAAACGCTCGTGCGGGTCGATAAAACAGCGGAATCAATCTGATTTATGGCCGTTAGCGATATCCCATGCGTAATAGAACGTGATACGAAGACCAAGGAATGATAACAAGACAAAGTAAATTCAACTAAATTAAGAAAATTTTCATAGGCTAAGAAAGAAAGCTTTAAATAACAAAAATTAATTACCTTTAGAATTTCATATAATTTTAAACACACATGAATTCTTGCCCCCCTCCTGACCCCCTACTATAAATTAATTTATATAGAAAGGCTTATAAAAAACTAATAAGATGTACTGGTATGAAACTTCAATATGAGAAAATTTAATTTGAAAATTCATAACGCTCGTGTGCTTTCAAATGTGACTGATCGACGAGTCTGTCTATTACAGACTATTTCTACTTGTACTCAACGTTGACATGCATACGTATACTATACTGCAGTTCATTTTATTTATTTTCCATCATTTTATTAGATCGTGGTCCACTTAACGCTAAATTATTATGAAAAATAAATAATATCCTGCCCTTAACAATATTTAAAAAATATAAAAACAAAGTAAAAAACAATCAGAATCAGTAATAGACAGTGAAACCAGCTTTCTTTTGCTGTTTAATGGATAAGCTTGTAGAATTCTAATTTTAAACTGTAATAATATTTCTCTTTTAAGAACAAATACCATTTTGTCATTGAATTTCTTATTTTAAACATGACGATGAAATTTTTACGGATGGATTCGACGCATTATGTGTGATTCGAGTAAAACTGGGCCAATGATGGATAAGTTTGTTCAATTACCTCTACAAGGAATACACTGGTACCCTCCGCCGAGTACTTTCCAGAAGAAGAGGGCTCCACTGTTAAGGTCGTCCTCGGAATACGCGGTCGTCGCCGCTGAATTGGACGCGCAACAGTTATCCTTTGTCACCCCTTGCGCCAATAACTCCTTGCAACGACCATTGCTGATGGAAGACCAGCACATACCGCCTGCAACATTAAAGAAAAACATATATATAGTTTTATTCTGTACGATTCGTTTCATTCGAATTTGTAAATGTTCCAAAGATTTCAGGCTTAATTTTGTGTTCTTAAATAAAATCATATTAACGCCTGCATTCTTTTATAATCTATTTTAAATAAAAAACCCTTTTTCCTATACGTACACCTTCGCATTTCCTAACTATAATGGATAAATAGATCACATTACTTTAAAAAATTAAACCTGAAATACCTTTTAACCCAGATAAGCCTACTCTTCTTTCCAGGAAAATGATTGTAAGGTTATTTTATTTCACGATTTCTCTTTTTTCTACGCTCCTTTGTCATTCTCCCTAATAATATCTGGACTCCGTGTTAATTTCAATTTTAACAAAATTCTTCAAAAAAATATTCCATCTTCAAACGATTGAACTCTGACGAATCTAGTTCGTTCAATGGAAAGATCGCGCACAAACGAGAAAGAATAGATCGCTTTAAAGAAAATACAGTGAATTCTTCAGAATGGAAACATAAAATTCCAGCAAAGAGAAGAATGGAACCTTGAAAGGTCCCGAGAATCACGATGGATCGCCGGCAAGAATTCTTTTCCCGTCGTTTTCATAGCGCGCGCGCGTAATCGCAGCCATAACTATGCTCGGTGTGTAACGCAAAACCGCGTGTATACGCGTCGGTTTTTCATGGATGACAGTCGACGGGGAATTTAGTATTCCCGGAACGTCGTATTAATGAGACGTGTCGCGGTGAGGGTAAAAATTCCGCTAAAGTCTTTTAATTAACGCCGTCTACGGGGAGGCGTTAGAAAAAAGTGGAACAAGGCCCGTGTACAGGCGAAATCCGACCAGACGGGGGACATTCGTTAGAAAGCTCGACAAGTAGCGTGTCATAACGTTCCGAATGGAACACGTTGCTCGCGATTAAAATAACACGTGTAACTTGTTCACGTGTCGGTCATAGGAATTACGGATAAAACACGACGGATTCCTGACTTTGTTTTTTTTTTTTTAAATCACGAAAGATTTTTTAAGCATCCTCGTAATGTTGTCGAGATATTCCTATTAATCCTAAAAAATGTTGTGGGAGGAAAGTTAATTTAATACCTGTAAATATAAAATTAAATTGGATATTAAAACTACTTTCAATCATTACTAGCCTGCGGATGCTTTATGAATTTATAGCACTTTTTAACTTGGAAAGTATAACAAAATAAAATTTTCAGTAATGTTTACTGCTATCTATAGTTTGTTGTTAATGTAGTAAAGCCTCTACAGATTACTCTCGATTATCGTCCCGAACTCGAGTCCGCGCCAGGACAATAATCTTATAGGGAAAAACGCTTCAAACAACGACTGAAAATACGAAAAGTTTTAAACAATCCCTACTCATGTATCCCTCGTTATCTTGACTTTTATCGTCACGTTTGTGATACATTTTACAGAAAATCATTACCCTAAAATTCGTAATATTGGTACACGATGACAGTAATTTAGAGCTTCTAATCACCTAAATCATATATCCGTATCTCACTCTGAGCTATCAACTTCTACGTATAAATGTCAAAATCGTTAATAATTATTTAGTCATTTTTTGGAAAACAAACTTCAATTATAATAAATTTATTATATACTATACTGATCAGGAATTGGGTTCTGATCAGCAACTGGGTCCGTGACGGTAGCTTCGTGTCCGCGAAGAAACCGGAAAGTAATGGTACTCTGTGCCCGCTCTATGAATTCATAAAGGGGACGAGTCTCCCGCGTGAACTCCGTGCGCAAGGTACTCGAAACGCTTTGTGTGGTCAGCGCACACACGGGGACCACGTCCAATTCCTGGCTACAAGTTAGGAATAGTCGACATTGTTTGCCGAACTCTCCATCGAGCTAGGGTAGGAATTCCTCGAAGACGACGGGAGTTAGAGGACAAGCGAAACGTCCACGGCCACGACGGCACTCGTCGCCGCGAACGTACTAATTACTTCAACTCCTCGATTCTTGTGTATTTAAATAGCGCTTGCATGCTGTCGCATAGAGAATGAGGGGTCTTATTGTCGGTCCCGATTATGGAGAATTTCATGCAATATACAGGATCTTCCATTTTAATCGACCCTTTCGAATACCTCCGATATTATTCATGATAACGAAAAATGTTTCGAACGAAAGTTAAATTGTTTCAAGGGGGGCGTTATTTGATGTAAATAGTTTTTTTAGGTAAAGGCGTAGAGGACACATTAAGGTCAACTAAATTTTTTTTTACTGTAATCCTGGAAGAATGAAGAAAATTGTAAAAACAAAACTAATAAAAATGTCGAAAACGTTCTGTAACCAGGAAAAAGGAAATTATAAGGTTAATCCATTGCTTCCATATGGTACGGCATCTCCCGTAGAGGGAAAGTTACTAGCTTTAAAAAAAATTGTTTATAACTCTGAAAATATTAATTTATCGACCTATATGTTTATGAAGACTTTTTTTCATCCTAGGCGAATATTATTTAACCCAGAAGTACTGAACCTTTTTTTTGTATCACCCAGTATATGACGAAAGTGGTATAAACCAATTACAAACATCCTGGAAAAATGTTTTCGTATTGTGATACTGTGAATCGATATAACGTCAAATAAGTGATACGTTCAATCTGTTTTAAATAAAACACTCTTGGAACCCCGTGTCTCTATTATAAAATAAGTATTCGAAAAAATATTCACAATTCTTTCACGAACAGTATTTCTTCCTCACAATGAGTTTGTTGCAGCACATTTATTCCGCCATTCTCCCTACCGATGTCCAGACACATTCAACAATGGAACACGCGGGTAACTGACGCTAATGAAAGGAGCTTTAAACGAAGTGTTTGAAAGAGACGGTGTGCCCCGTACAAGCATGCGAGCAATGACAATTGTATTTGAAGTACGATGCAGATCAACAGATCGGTATGCACCTACTGCGATCTCCGATTGTTTTTCTTGTATTTTCTTTTCCACCGTAGCCCGTACAGAGCGACACGGAACATTGGCAACAAAGGCCTGTGTTTAAGACGTGTTTATAAAGCGATTATGGCCGTGAGAGGGTTGCAACAATAAACGTCATTGAACGGTTATAAAGGAATTCCCGGGCGGATTAGTTAATAACGCGCGGTATGGACCCGAGTAAACGTTAAATAAAACAATTTGAAACTGATTCATTGTTATGATAAGTACGGCCGACGTTTAAAGATAAATATACGAGACACGTTAATAAAAAACAAAAAAAGAATGGCAAAGAATGTTCGTGGTCGATGACCGCGCGTGTCGACACAGTGAACGGGGTTTATTTAATCACGTTAGTTGTAACGCGTCAAATGTTTAATTTTTGTTAATTCCGTTATTTTTTTTCTTAAACACCTCAAAGTAAATAGTTAGTCAACTAACCCCACATCCGGGGTTTGTTGACATATCGCCCTCGCTAATTTAAATATGACAAAAACTACAACCTATACACAATCAACCGATTTTCAAAATTAAGGAAATATGTAAACTTGTGGTATGCTACAAGTCAACAAAATACCAATGGTTCACTCATAAAAATGAAACATGTTAAAAAACTTAATCGACTAGCCCTGCTCTACCCCATCTACGGGGATCAAACAGAAAAAAGGCAAGAAAAAAAAAAGAGGGGAAAAGAAACCATGAATGCGGTTTCGCGTGACGGCATAAAAACCTCGGGACACGTCGAACCAGCCAGAATCGTCGAGACGTCCCTGAGAGACAATGGAACACCTCGGGCACCGATTAATCACCGGCCGCGATAATGTAATCGGAAACCGCGCGCCGTCTCGCGGTGAGCCCTGGGCTTGCGCGTCTGGCAAACGAACTGTGTGCACCTTAACTACACCGTTCGAGGCCTTTTTGCCCTCCCCTCCGCCAACCCCTTCCCACCCTTCGCATTGTCCCCCTTCCTAACCCCCCTTTCGCCGTATCCGTCGTTCATCTTTCCAGTCTACACACCGTTTTTTCCCTCGTTTTTCTCTTTTCCTCTATCGGTCATTCCTTTTTCTTCCCGCGCCTCATCCTACCTCTCGTCGTTCCCCACTTTTTCTTTCCTATTCCGATTTCTTCGTATTTCCCGCCGTTCCCCCTTTCGCCATCTTTCTCTCTCTGTGTCCGCGTCACGAAATAGGCGAGAAGCTTGGGTCTACGGTTGCCAGGAAAATTCCTTGTCGGTAGGGATAAGGTAACGTCACACGAGCTATATTCATGAATATGACTTGTGCATACCCAGTGTTGCCGCAAAAGTTCCCCCTGAAGGAATATGTGACGTCACAATTACCCCCTCTGCCATTCTATACCATGTGATATGTGATTACGAAGTCAGCTGCCTTCAATAGCGAGTGCAGGAGCATACACAGGTGTACAGTAAATCAGTGATGAGTGTTTGAAGGCTCCTCGGCAATGAGTGTTAATACGTCATCCCTACCAGTGAAGGGGTCCCCCGTAAAACCAGTCAACCGACCAACCATCAAAATTTTCATAAACTGTACCCGTAAATTCATTATTCGAAGTTAGTTGAGACACCCTATATATCACTAAAGACTACAATATATCCAAGCGTCAACAAAATCCGAAATATTTGGTACTTCAAAAAAATTTCCAAATTTCTCGAGTAATGACCCTACTACAGACTTCTCTCGATTATTGTCTGACTTGTTCTACACGATTATTGTCCAGGCGTCATCCCCGCCACTAGGGATCCTCCGCTTTTGTCGCCGAGGCTTGGTCTTCAGGCAAAAGACGAATTTACGAGGGTCTGAAACATTTCTCCCTGTAAGATTATTGTCCCGACGCGGACCCGATTTCGGGACAATAATCGAGAGGAGTCTGTACGTCACTTTGTCCCTACGCGACCATGTTTCCCCTACTTCTGGCAACGTTTCTTGGGTCGCTGCAGGCGGGCAACGGCTAAATGCGTTTCTTCGTTTGCCACGCGGTATATTGTACCCGTCGATCGCCGGTCCAAGG